ATATATATATATATATATATATATATATATATATATATATATATATATATATATATCTTCATAAAACGGTGGTTGGCATCCTACACATATTTCTATTTGTTTACGACCCCTTCTTATCAAGGATGTTTACTAGCTTGACATTCTTAACTGTATTTGTCCACTAATTCAATACAAATCATTGGTAAAATAAACATATGAAAGAAGGGAAACTATAAGCATGATGAGTGTACATAACAAGGTTTTCTTGACTCTAAAAGACACATACCAACTAATAGAAATAGGGGTTTAACCATTGGTTCCACAATTAAACTTAAAAGGCATCATGCGGTTCAAAATGCAAGCGAACATGCTTAACGACTTAACATATGATGACTACATGAGAAAAGTTACAGACCAAAATAAGTTAAGGTTGATCAAGATGTGATTGGTGATATATATATATATATATATATATATATATATATAAGACTCATCTTGATCAAAATATTTCATACAACAAACCAATAATCGGATAAATTAAGCTTAAATGATCGTTATGATTTAGATGGATCAAGTAGATAGGACTACACCATGGTTTGGGGATGTAACCTATCTTGCTTGTTGTTATGGGATCAATAGCTTGTAGCTCATAATAATTGATTTCTAAGAGAGGTACAGTTGTCATCTAGTCCCATATAATGCATTACAATTCTTTTTTGCCCTTTATCCTTGTATTTTTTTTTCTTTCCAAAAATACTTATGTAATATAACCAATGTGCTGATCAATAACATATAAAGTAACTTAATCAGCTCAGTTACACATGAATGTTCGTACCTATTATACCAATACTCAGTGATGTCTGTGTTTGTACCATTTGTTGCAACTTAAAATATTTTCAGTTAACATCTAACTTATCAACTAATTTATCAAAAATAGCTTTTATGCCTTAATGACATTATCAATTTGAAACAAGCATTTTGGAACATGGTCTTCACTAACCAAGGCAAGAGAAAGAGCCACAAGGGATATAGGACCAAAGCATGATAAATGTGTGCTAACAAACACTAGTGAACACATCTTTTGAGAGAAAAAAAAAAGTAGTAATATACTTTGAATGCCCTTTCAAGAGTACATTGAGTCCTTTTGTAAAGGACACTATAATTGTTAAGAGGTACATAAAATATTTAAACATTAAAATTATTTTTAAAATAATGATACTTTCTATCTAAAATCATGTGTAATTGAAGTCTGCATTTCATAAGATTTGCGTAAAAACAAAACAAAGTATAATAAAAATATATAAATCTTGTAAAATTGGGACACACTTCAAAACAGATCTCTGAATGTCAAAATTTGCCCCCATAAAAAGGGTCGAGACAATATGTGTGAATTGTCGAGATCTTTTTGATGATTTGTTATGATATCCATAATTCTATCTGATTGAAAAGTTACAACATTTTAAAATAGGTTAAATTTGCACACAGTTCTTAGTTCCCATTGTTCTGTACATTATGCTTAGTATTAAGAATTTAACGGTGTTATCACCTAAAAAATCAGATCCAA